TCCCTGAAAGTTTCTTGAAGAAATAATTGGTATGGGCTTACTCTGGAAATATTTTCAGTAAATGGAGTAGTCATGGGGGTGGGGGAAGATTAATTTATTGAAAAATGTATTTATGATTAGACATTTTGAAAACTCATGGCTCTTAAGTTGTTCAGTTTTTTCCTAGAGTAATGTTTCATTCTACCTTTGTTTTTGACTCAATATTGTTTAATAGGAAACCATCTCACATACCAAAAACTTTAGTAAGCAGGTTTTAAAATTCTGTTTTCATTTTGTTTATTGACAACTTATATGCTTGGGCATTTGAGTTCACATTAAGATTTTATGTTAAACTGCAAACTTGAACAGTAAGCGTTTTGATTTTCCTTGAACTTTGGAAAATAGTTTACCTTAGAGTGGTGCTATAATGGTTGGTAAAATTTGAAGTGAGAAAAACAACTTTAACATTTACTGAGTATCCAAAAGTAACTTGCTGTTGTAGTTTCTTTATTCTCTCTTTAGATTTTGGGATTTTAATGATGTAGAAAGCAATAATTCCTTTCCACATATTACTTTTGTAAAAACTTGTTAGAAAGTAGAATGCCTAAATTTTTTTCCCATTGACGTCTCTATCTTATATGGGAGTTCTTTCATTCCAGAGAACTAAACAGTGTTGTAAAGTGTCTAATTATGGTTTGTGCAGGTGCTGTCTCTTGGGTCCAGACTACCTGGTTGGCAGGTGATTAACCAACCCAAATATTCTTGCCAACCAGTGACACCTGCAGCTCTGCAGGGAAAAAAGGGAGAGAGGAACTGAGATGCAGGTGACGGGGTGGGAGGGAAGGTTGAGTTTGGTAAGAGGACTGCGTGAGTTGGGCACTTTGAGGTATCTCCTCTTCTTGCCAGGGTGTGTGTGTGTGTGTGTGTGTGTGTGTGTGTGTGTGTGTATGAAATGCAGTTTAAAGGTGTGTGTGTATGAAATGCAGTTTAAAGGTGTCAGTATATTTATATGAAAGTATGGATTTTGTGAAACTCAAATGTCTGAAAGTCAGGATTGCGTGCATTACATTGATGAATGTGCCATTTGGTTTACCTAATGGGCACGATGGGAAATGTTCACTATAGTGTAACCTTACATTTTTGTATATCCAATTATTCCCATCCTACATTTGGAGAGTCATATCTTTGAGAAATGGAGAGTAGGCATGTCCCTCTCTCTCTCTCTCTCTTTTTTTTCCATGTTTGATTATTTGTATCTTGACACTAAGTTTTAAAAAGAATGTTACTTTTGTAAACCCTTTGTCTTCTTAGCTCTGCTATTACCAAATTAGTAGCTGAACAGCCATCAGATTTGACTGTAATAAGTTGCTCATAAAAGTAGCTTCTTAAAATTTATATTTGACTCATTCCTACTTGGTTCTAAAGGGACTTATTTTGTGATCATTTTTTTGTAGGCGATATAATATGTTCGAATAATTTTTGTAGCTTTGTTTTCTAGGAACTATCAATCTCATGAAGAAGACAATTCTTTTGTGTAGGTCTGAGTTAAGAGAGTGATTTCAAATCATAATTTTGATGGTAATTAGATAAATGAGTATTTTAGACTTGGCTTTTAAGGAAACTTGGTAATACTTATTCAAAAGTAAGATAAAATAAATTTTATATAAAATAATTTATATAAAATAAATTATTTTTATATATTGATATAAATACATATTTATATTTTTATAAAATTTATATATTTATATTTTATATTTGTATGAAATAATTTATTATTTATATAAAATAAATTAACACTGTGAAATGGATACAGAGGACCTAATTACTGTATGATCTGTTGATTATTATGGTCCTGAGCTAGGCCAAGCCCTAACCTCAGGTCTTTGTTTTAAAGATAGGCAAGAGGGCTCGTTTTAAGGTTGCTTTTTCTTTGGTTTATTACCCAACTGGTAAAAAAGCAGTTAGTGGCTAGTACTAGAGCCTGTATTCAAACCCCTTTCTTAGCGCCTTCTCTTCTGCCAAAGCACTTCTTTGGCTGCTGTTTTTTGGTTGACTTACATTTCTCTGTAAAAGACAAAATGGATTTACCTAATAGGCATCAGGAATATTACTTGCAAACTTGGAATTTTAATCTTTAGGAGGGCTGATTTGGTTATGTCCTGGAAGGACTACTTTGTTTGGAATCATGGCTCTGAGATCCAGTCCTGCCTGTAACTGATTAATATGTTTAGTATTAGTGATGCTCTTGGGCTTGGTTATCTTGTCCTGCCAGGCAGGGTTGTTGGGATGATTAAATGAAGTAAAGGATTTAATTTCTTAGCACAGTAGGAGACAGTTACCTTCACTGTAAGCCCTTATTTGTTTTCCTAAATTCAGAATTTGCTGTTGGCATTAACAGGGGCAGATAGACTACAGATATTACAGCGACATTTCCCAAATGTATTCCAAATTTAGTGGATGTTGCACTAAGTAAATAAAATAACAACAAATAACATGATAAAAATAAAAAGTGGAGTGGATAGATGACCTGGGGAAATACTGTTCTATTTTCCTTTTGGAGATTTACTAGGCATAATAATATATTAAAGGCCTTTAGAAATTCTGCTGTAAAAAACATTTCTTTTTTCTTTTTTATTTTTTTAATTTTTTTTCAACGTTTTTTATTTATTTTTGGGACAGAGAGAGACAGAGCATGAACGGGGGAGGGGCAGAGAGAGAGGGAGACACAGACTCGGAAACAGGCTCCAGGCTCTGAGCCATCAGCCCAGAGCCTGACACCGGGCTCGAACTCACGGACCGCGAGATCCGTGTCATGGATCCCCAAAATGGCGCCCCAAAACATTTCTTTTTTAAATAAAGGTAAACTGAAATTGTCATTAAGCTCTTCCTTTAAGAGCACTGATTTTAAACAATATTGATATTCCATACAGCACGGTTTGTGAAGCGCTGCTTTAGGGTCATAATTTTGAAGATGACTTGGGGATAGAATTCTCTGTAGCAAGAGGCTTTTGAAGATATATGTCTTGCATCTTACCCATGATAGGTAACGCTTGCAGTGGAAATTTATGAACTTTAAACAGAAGGAATCACCACTTTAAATTCCATCTTCTGTGGAATTTATTGGCTGAATTTTATGACAAAATACTGAAATTCACCCAGAAAAAAGTTACTAAATGCTAGTTAGCAACCTATATCAGAGAGAATTTACAGTATTTTTTAGAGTTGATACTACTTGTTGAGATAATTGCTAATACAGCATTAAAAGTTATAAAAGTATGGGTCTGAAGGCTCTGTTCATTTTCCTTTTTTAAAAAAAATTTTTTTTTAACATTTATTTATTTTTGAGAGACAGAGAGAGATAGAGCACAAGCAAGGGAGGAACAGAGAGAGAGGGAGACACAGACTCCAAAGCAGGCTCCAGGCTCTGAGCTGCCAACACATAGCCTGATGCGGGGCTCAAACTCACAGAGTGAGTTTGACCGTGAGATCATGACCTGAGCCAAAGTCGGCCGCTCAACCAGCTGAGCCACTCAGGCACCCCTTGTTTTCCTTTTTTTTTTTTTAAAGTTGGTTTATTTATTTGGAGACTATGAGCCAGGGAGGGCCAGAGAGAGAGGGAAAGAGAGAATCTGTCAGTGCAGAGCTGGTTGTGGGGCTAGATCTCACAGAGTGAGATCATGACCTCAGCTGAAATCAAGAGTCAGATACTTAACTGACTGAGCCACCCAGGTGGTAACTGAGCCACCCTGGCTGACTTTAAATAGTATATATATATTTTTTGTTTTGGACCTCAGGAGTAGTGTTGAGTTGATCATCATCTTCAGTTCGTGGTATCGTGACCAGTCATCAAAGACTTTTTTCTTTCTCTCATCCATAGGCAACTGTTTTAATGTGTCTGATGTTTTCTTCTTGTCTTTGCAAGATGCATATTGTAGCATCAAGTACATGAATTTTACATTTGCCTAGATGCTATTATGTATCAAATGTCAGTTTTTCCCACTAAAATGCTATTTGATGATTTAAACACCCAGCCTTCTTTTTTTAAGTTTTGTGAGGAAATCTTTTTTTAAATTTATCTATCTATCTATCTATCTATCTATCTATTTATTAATGTTAATTCATTTTTGAGAGACACAGAGAGACAGAGCACAAGCTCTGGTGGGGCAGAGAGAGAGGGAGACACAGAATCTGAAGCAGGCTCCAGGCTCTGAGCTGTCAGCCCAGAGCCCTACACGGGGCTCGAACTCAACGAGCTGTGAGATCATGACCTGAGCCGAAGTCAGACACCTGACTGACTGAGCCACTCAGGTGCCCCAGTGCGGAAATCTTTCTAAATGGTGTTAGACTTTTTGGCTTTTATAATTAGAAAAATATGAAAGAATCCTCCCTCTTTCTCTTTGCTCAGGGAATATTGATAGGATTATTTGTCCCTGAAAACCCTGATAGGATTATAATGTTTTATAAGTTACTTTTGTTTTTTTCTTCATCATTATATGGTCAGTGATTACTTCTCACAGATATTGGTGTGTCTGGCCATTGTGGCTGCTTTTTTTTTAAGTTGAAATTATTTATTGAGCTAATTGTAGATTCACATACAGTTATAACAAGTAATACAGAGCCGTCTAAGTAATACAGAGCCGTCTCTTGTACGCTTTGTGTGGGTACCCGCTGTTTTTTTTGCTTTTACCTTATATGTAGGCTCAGAAGGGGGATAGACTAGCTTGTTAGAATTATGTCAAGTAAGAGTGAAGCCAGGGCATTCTCTTACGAATGTAATGCATGAACTTTAGTGTGTGGATTTTTTGTTAGCTGCCTTTTTCTTAATTTTGTAGCATGTTTCAGATGGTGAAGTTATATAGCTGAGTGATATAAGATATATATAGCTAAGTGATAAAATATGGTATTTCTTTTCTTTTAAACAAATTGAATTATTTATACAAATACTGTTGAAAGTAGTTATACAAATTTGAAATCTTAAATTTTGGTAATGATGAGATATTTCTGTGTATGTTTTGTTTTAGGTTGTTTCTCGAAGAAACCCAGAAGATGTCCAGGAGGTAACATGTCTATACATATGAAAATTTTATTTTATATATTTGATACAAATTTAATTAAATGCTTTGTTGAGGAAACTGAATATTGGTATGTCTATATTTATGTTTGTCTGGATCTGTTAAGTACATGTTAAGTTACACGAGGAACAATTTAAGGAATTATAGTGCTGTTTAATGTGATAATATATTTTTTTAATTTTTGTTTTTAATATTTATTTATTTCTGAGACAGAGAGAGGCAGAGCATGAGTGGGGGAGGGGCAGAGAGAGAGGGAGACACAGAATCTGAAGCAGGCTCCAGGCTCTGAGCTGTCAGCACAGAGCCCGCCCGACGCGGGGCTCGAACCTGAGATCATGACCTGAGCCAAAGTTGGGTGCTCAACCGACTGAGCCACCCAGGCACCCCTGTGATAATATTTTTGATAACTAACATAAGGTTTCAGTATAAGTTAAGAGCTCTTATTTATTTCAAAGTCATGATAACTAATAAAAAATGAGAAGTATTTGAGTAACTAATATTAATTTTAAAGATCATCATAATAAATTATGGGTTCCTGTCTACTTTGACTTTTTTTAAATGTTCATTTATTTTTGAGAGACAGCATGACCTGGGGAGGGGCAGAGAGAAGGGGGGACAGAGGATCCAAAGGGGCTCTGTGCTGACAGCTGCAAACCTGATGCAGGGTTGGAACTCACGGAACAGTGAGATTATGACCTGAGCCGAATTTGGACACTCAACCGACTGAGCCACCCAGGCACCCTTACTTTCACTTTTATATTGAGTTAGCATGTTGACAGCTTGGAAAACTGCTTTGGGTGTAACTGTTTCTTTTTTAAATTTGTTGTTCTTTTGCCGACTCTTCTCTAAAATGACGCCAGCTTGTTGTGTTTTTGCTTAACACTATATAATTCTCTATTTGTAATTACTTTGCGTTTGTTATATACCCTTAGGAATCCTAGCTGAGGAGCTTGTTTCTTTTAACATTTTTTTTGATTTCCTTTCATTATTTTATTTACCTGCTCATTTACACTATGATTAGAAGCACGTATGTTGGGGAAATTTTTTTTTTCTTACTGAAGTGTTTAAAAAAGACATTATAAATTGGCATTCTTGATTCTACAGCAGTTTTT